AGGGACGTCGGAGGTCTCGGTTGCTCCAGCTTGCGGGTCGATCGCAGAGGCGAACGACCCCCCGACCTCCAATCCCCCGGTCGTGCTGCAGCGAACGCCTCCTCCCGTGGGTGAACGACTTGGGGCTCGGTGACCACCGTGGCCGGAGCTGAGACCGTGGCAGCAGTGCAGACGACCACCTGTTTCCGCTTCAGGACCTCGTGCGCCTGGATACTCGTTGCAACACACAACGAACATATGTCGACTTCGTTGGCTGTGTTGATGGGGACCCCCAGGTCGTGCGCCAACTTCAGCAGTTGTTCCAAAACCATAGCGTCCTGCCCCTCCTCGTCCATACGAGGGAACGCGGCGTCCGCGAGGGCCAACAACGCCGTGCGGTAGGCGAGCGCGGTCTCCGTGTCCGCCTTCCGTCGTTCGTAAAATTGGTGGCGGCAGGCCGAAGGTGGGCCGTACACCTTGGCCATGAGGCCCAGCGCAGCCTTGAGCGTGGAGCGGGCCGATCTCGGTGCGGACCTGAAGGCCGCGAGCGCGTCGTCGTCCAACATGGCAGGCAGTGCCCGCAGCGCCGTAGCGTCGGACCAGGCCGACATCTCTTGATGGGCGAGAAATCCTCGCTGGAATGCGCCCCAGTCACCCCCTTCCGCTTTGAAGGCTGTCAACGCGGGAAGACGCTGCTGGAAAATAATGTCGTCCTCCGCCTCGTGACTCTCCCGCGCCGCACCGTCGACATGCAAAATGGCGGCCCCTGTGGCGGGTGGCTGATGGTGGCCCGTAGCGCCCGCTGATGACGTGAGCGGCAGAGATTGGAGGACCCCCACCATGTGTTCCCGCCAACAGATGGTCGATCGGCAGAAATGGCGGGAATTTCAAAGTTATTTTGGCGGGAATCTGCAACGCGACCCCTTTCAATGTCCGTCGGCGTTCTCGCTCCTCCAGCCGTGGTGATCTCCGCTAGGATGAACGCCGCGGCGAGTAGCAGCTCTGCCAGGCGGGAGTGCGCGTCGCGGAGTCCGGCATCAGCCCCCAGCGGCTCGTTGGGCGCCCATGAGGGGTCCTGTGGCGCCGGCATCTCCTCCTCTTCTCCCCCCGATGCCTGCTGGCCCGAGTCGTCGTGGTGTTCCTCCCGGTCACGCTCGTGAGTCCGATGAGTCTTCCTGGTACGCAAGTGAATATGTCAGAATCTCTTTCAAGTTTACAGACCGGGATTGACTTATCACTAACAGTCGTGCAAAGAGTCTCCTGTCATTTTTTAGAATGACTTGATTTCCATCTTTTGTCTTGGATGATTTCTTCATTTGATCCCCAAACGTAGTGAGCTTCAAGGACTTTATTGGAGAGAAGAAGTCTGTTTTTGATGACTGGACTCGATCTTGGATGAATATTTTCAGAGCTGTTTCACCTTTATCACAAGCACTTTGTATGTCATATCTGACAGTCTTTGTAGCAACAACACCAGAGCTAATACATACAAGATCTTCACGAGGCAGGAAGGTATTGATCATAGACTCAACCGCTGAAACCAAAGATATAACAGCAGCATTGTCTTTTGCAATTCTTGTTGCATCCAACTCTTTATGACCCCTCTCTTCATGTTGCAGTCCAGCCATCATTTCACACTGCCTTGTGATTGCAGAACGTTCAGGATGAGACAGTATCCATCGCTGGACGGCATCTCTGTTCAATGTTATCCCAGTTATGCCGCCTTTGGTCTTTGAATCACGGTTGCAGGTTTGTTCTATTGCTTGGTCACAAGCTATGGATGAGAACCTGTTAGCATCTTTACGCTGTACTGTCCAGTTTCCTTTTGCAGTAACTTCTTCATAGCAGTGTGGATGAGTCTTTGGAAGATTGATCATCTCGACCCAATATGCTGATAGGTACCTTGCATAATTTTGGCGGTCATATGCAAAATACCATGCCAGCATACGTCTCACTGTTGCTAAGTGAAGGCTCCAGTCAGAGTCTCCGGTTGCTCTAATGAAACTCAGTAACAGTTGAACCATTTCAATGTATGAGCTCCAAAGTCCAAAGGTGGGATTAACAGAGTTCATCTCATGTACATATCTATCATAGCAAGACAGCATATCTGATAATATGTCAGACACTGAGTTAGATGAAAATCCTGCCTCAGACTTGTACTCGCGTACTAGATCTTCCATGGCTGATATGTAACGAGTGTGCTGTTGCTCAAGAAGGGACTGAAGAAATGACCTCAACCGCAAGATATGCATTGCCTTAAATAGGAGTTTGTGTGCACGAACGCTACGGTTGTAGTGATGTCCACTAATGACTCCATTTATTGAACCTACAGCTACCACATTTGAATCAATCAGCATATCCTGCAGTCCTGCTTCTTTGAAATGTTTGCCTATCACTGCCATAAAGGACATGGCTGTGTGGAACTCACCTTCGCATTGCTTGATTTTTTTCCATCGGACTTCAGTAAAGGGCTGCGGACCTTTCCCACCATCTTTTCCGATATGAAGAATACACTTTACGGGTGTTAATCGAGCTTGATCGCCGCTATCAGATGAAGCTGCGCTGCTTCTGTCCTCCTCCATGTTTACATGTGCGTAGTGATATTGGCTTGATTTTGGCTCTGACCTACTTACATTTTCGATGCTGATTGGTTGAAAATCTAGCTCAACAGTTTTATATGTCTCAATACGCAGTCAATATAGTGCGCCAATAAATTACACTTTTCTCATTAACTGCAGGATAATGCGTGGAGAACTTTTTGCTTGGATACCTTTTATTAACGTTGAACATATTGAGCAAAAGAAAAAGTAGTGCCCCATTTGTCAGAACGAAACTGAACGATACAGCTCACGTACAGCGGCCTATATGGACCTGAAACCTCAATTTCCCTGTACAAGAATACGGGTAAGAGAATACTGTAATTAAATGTAAGCAGATTTTTGAAGATGCGTGCAGTGGCTACGTTACTTGAACGTTCGCTTTTGTGAATACTGAGATTTAGCGTTGAGGAGGCTCTTGTTGAGTGGGGCCGTGCGTGGGAAGGACGTGTCGGCGGATCCTGCATCTCCTCCACCCCCATGGGATCCACACACACGGCTCGCGTTGTTTGGTCCAGCGCTGCGCTATATATAGGCGTTGTCGCTGAATAATATTAGCAGGGTTTAAACGTGCCCATTCTTGAACCCTCCTAATATTATTACCTCCCAGTGAAGGCTGCAACTGGCGACGGCAGTGAGCGCGCGGTGCCCGTGCTGTGAAAGAAGTCCCCGCGGCTCTCTCACGCGGGGCCCGTGGTGCAAATTGATTTTTCCACCCCCGGCGAGTTACTGCATAGCCACTTCGACCCCCAGAGAGACCGGGGAACGACGTGGCTATGGGAACGTCGCGCTGTCGCGGTGCCTCCTGCTGCTGTGGTGTCGGCTGTTTGTGGCGGATGTTCCGATAGTTTTTTTTTTATACTGGTAGGAACCTCCTGGTTACACCAGCCCACAGGGGATTATTGTGTCCGTCGTGCAGCGAGGGGCTGGATGGGGATGGGAGGGTGGGGAGGGGTTGGGTGGGGAGGGTGGGGCTGGGTGGGGAGGGTGGGGAGGGGCTGGGTGGGGGTGGGAGGGGTGGGACTGGGTGGGGAGGGGCTGGTCACCCCGTGGTGCCCTTTTAAAACTCAACGTTTAACCTACTCACGCCAGCTTGTGCCCGCCCTCACAGTCGGGCATATTTGCGGAATACACCACGCCGCCGTTCACCCTGGCCATTGATCGAGCAACCCAACGTTCCAACCAGCTCCCTCCGCAGGAATGTGTTTAATTATTTACGCTGGGAGACCTCAAGCGAGTCTTCAGGATTCTCGAGGGTTCTTCCAGGTTTTAGCAGTAGGTGGGGGGGGGGGGTATTGCTGCTGTGTGTGATCCTAATTGAGTAATTTTCAGGTCATACATTGTATGCTTTGTTTAGCTATTGGAGAAAAACTGGAGAACCCAGAGGAAACCCATGCAAACAAGGGGGAGAACATACAAATTACACACAGAAAGGCGCTCGAGTTGGGAATCGAACCCATGTCCTTCTTGCTGTGGGGCAGAACAAATGGTAACCACTGCACCACCACTCTGCCACCCAATGAGGTGGGTGGGACCTTACCACAAGCCCCACTTGATGCAAGCACTTGCCTGGGTGGTTGTGGAGTGGATTGGCAATGTGCTCGTGGCCATCTCCCATTTGGCAGCAGAGATTTCACTCTGAATCGCTCGAGCAGCATATTTTCATCGGCTGCGTAAAGTTGCATGGAAGCTGCCTAGCCTGTAACTCCACACGAAGCTCCGGGTCTTCTCGGCTTCCACCATACCACTTATTCCTATGCTTTTTAAACGTTAACCCCTTTCCAGGAAAATTCAGACTGATTGTATGGGGAATGCACATATCCTTGAAAGTTCTGCACACAGATGTGGATACCGTCCCATCATGAGTGTCTATGGCAGGAAAGGATGCTTTGGCTGGGCCAGGTAGCAGTGTCCCATGATCCACATTTCTCTGTGCTGGCCAACGTTATACCCTCCCTTCTCGCCACGGTGGCAAGATGTTCACTGCCTCGCCAGGTATACAGGCCGTGGGTTTGATCCCGACCCTGGATGCCTGTTGTATATTTGCAGTGTGCATGTCTGTCTCTCCCCCCCGTGGTCGCGTTGATTTTTCTCCAGGTCCTGCGGTTTTTCCCTCCACATTTAGGCAACATGACTTTAGAGTATTTGGCTGCTGTACATTTCTACATAAGCTACTTCGTTGAGCTATCATGTGTGGCCATGTCGTTTCTGAAAAAGAGCTACATAGCTCAGTGGGCCTTACCTGGGTAAAATAAAAAAATATATAGTTTAATTTATACTAAAATGCGAAGGCGATTTTCTTTGGGTCTTTCGGTAAAGTCACTTAGATAGGTTCAAATTAATTTTAAAAAATTAACGAAGGCGATGTTGGGCAGTATGGGAAGATGCGTGGAGGTGCGAGAACCAATACTTGTGACCATCGGACATATTGTATAACATTTATTCACATGCATCAATACTCTTTGCAGTTTAACATAATCTTTAATGTAAGTAATGTACATACCAACACTTGCAGGTGGAGGTGTGGGGGTAAAGAAGGGTGTTCATCAAACAACGTTATGATAATAGTATGCTTCAAATAAACGATGCAAAATGATTTCAAAACCCATCTCCACATGTCAACATTGGCTTCGTAATAAAAAAATCTTACAGCCACAATGACCTTGTCATCACGTGCCAATAAAACAATCCTCACCACTGAACAACAACAGTTTCACCCTTTATTGTGGATCATTAGCAATGCCAGCTGAGTGTGTTGTATCGGACGACGCGCTCATCCGTGGCCTCGTTCCTAGGTGACCTCTTTCAGTCGCTGGCGCCACCATCGGGGCCTTTGGCCTCGCCTGTTCAGGGCGCAGCGCCAGCACCAGAGACCCTGGTGAGCGAGCTGCCATGGGTGAAACTTGTCCCTCTACGAACTTTGGCGGGTAAATCTCTCGAAGCATTTGAGTGCTGGTGATTTCTAACAAGGGTAAATCCCGTGCACATCCCGTTCCCATAAACATGCAGTCGCTTGAGATATTTAAAATCCCTCCTGACCAAGTGAGGCTGCCGTTCTTCAAACGTGGCTTGGGAATCCAACATCGTACTTTTTGGATCCAGGTCTGGTGTCAATTCACATTTGTTGTCTACTTCCCGTTTCAAAATGTTAGCGTAATTTTTTTACCAAGAATTTTCAAAGACAAGTTATGTATTTTTTTTCATCTTTGTTGTAAAAAATAACATTTTGCATGTGTCGACACACGTGCTTGATGGATGCCATGTAGTGTGTTGGGCGAAAGTTAAACAGGAGAGCAGAATATGTTTACACACTCAGGAAAGTCTGGTTCTGGTAGAACACAGGAACACAGCAACCACTGTATATGGCTTCACGCACTCATGCCCAGCGGCTCTGTTGCACCGGGGGCCATTCGGCCCGCCTGCAGGGCAGATTCTAGCCTCCAAGTGTGTGATAAAACGTTCAGGACGAGTGGCGGAAAACACGATAAACACCGATTGCAAATTCAAACGTGGTATAAACCAACGAAGTTTAACAACATTACCGATGGTTAAAGTGCGACTCTACATTTCCCGTGTCGTGACCTGGTGACATGGGTGTGTGGTTGGGGACCTGATGTATTATTGCACGCATATAGATCCCTACAGTGTTCATATAGATCCCTACAGTGTTCACTCGCGAGTATAAAACCTCAACAAAGTTCCCTAACACAGGGTAATTGTGACACATGTATCAAATTTATATTACAGTTATAATCCATGCAAATTACAAGTATTTTACTCCAATATAAAGTGTTTTTTCCAAGCATGGAATGCAATTGTAGAGTTGTGGTGACTTCATAAGTTATACGCAGCTTATCCGGTCGTGAGTTCTTCGTGTGTCCATGTGGGCAAACTGCATTTAAAATATTGGCATATTGTTTCTTCAGTTTCCACAAAGATCAATTTCTGGTTAATGTTAAAAGCAACAATCGTTGTATCAGATGTTCCACAGCTATGAATCATTCACTGGAGATTACCAAGAGTTGTGTGAAAGCTTCAATATGAATTCACGCGGGGATACCACGACAGCAATGTCTCCGATTCTTTGAACCGGCGTCCATTTTATTCAACGGATACAAATTCATCTTATGGCGGGACCCCGGGATCCCATAAGCCCCCGGCTCTCGCATAAACAGTGTTGCGACGTCATTTTATGTCTGTTGAAGGCGAGCAACACGGCAATCTATTCCTCTCGACGAGCTCTACACGATGCGTTAATCAAAGTTTAAAAGTTTTGTTAATGACTACGGCAAGTTTGGAAACGACGGGTGCTTGGTGAAGAACGAGAGGATTGATTTCTGGTGGGTCGTGGCGTTTATGTGCGCGGTGGGACGGAGTCGCCAATTTTTTTTTACGATTTTTACTTCTGTTTATTCGGGACCCCAGGGTCCCACCATAAGGTTCAAATATTGACCTAACGATGTACAGTAGGAGGATCGCACGGCCCCATCCATTGCAGGGCCGCGATTTCTGACACCCAAAAAAAGTTCGGTGGCTGGGGTCCTGTGACGGACGCCCCACGCGGGCAACGTTTAAAAAAAGGGCACCGCCATCTCCCAGAGCCAACTGCTCGTAGGTGGCCATGCAGTGGCGATTGTCCCCTTCTATTCAGGCCGTGACAGAACGCTGACCCCCCCGCCCCCACCCCCCGTACTATCTCAAGTTCGTAGACAAGGAGGGGACTATTGCTGCATGTTCATAATGCGGCTGCTAGCATGTTAACCAGAATACCTTCACATCATATTACGCCTGTGTTGATCTCCCTGCACTGGCTTCCAGTTTGACATAAAATACAGTTTAAAATCCTATTGTTCACTTACAAAGCAGTGAACCATCATCTTGCTCCAGCCTACATCACTGACATGCTGCACCCATGTCCCCTCAACGTCCCTAAGAACTGGGGATGTAGATCTTCTCTGCATTCCCAGGGTCGAGGCTTTGGTCTAAGGGTGACCGACATTTTCCCGTGTAGCCCTCAGGCTATGGAACGCTCTTCCACAAGATATCAGGATCTCTCAGTCTGTGGACATTTTAAAAATGCATCTTAAAACCTATTTATACGCTTATTAAACTTTTAGTTGATTTAGTAAATGGATTATAATATAATTGTTTTGATGCTGCATGTCTGCTGCTGCTGTGTCCTGGACGGCGCTTTGTGATCCTTGATGAAAAGCCGCTCTATTAATGGAATTATTATGATTGTGTTGAACGATTTCCAGGTGTTCGCGACGCGTTCACGGGCCATGGGGATGCCACTGGCGCATGTCATCGCGACCAACACTTCCCGCCCTCCACAGGTGCCGTGCGGCCGTCTTACATTTTTTATTGGCTGTACAATTTTTTTGGGAGAAAACTGAACTATTACTCTCGAGATATTGTGCATAATGTGCAATCGCGTTCGGGTTGAAGTTTTCACAAAGATATTTGCGTTTGGTAATGAATATCGTTTCTGAACAACATGAATTTATGTCTAAATTTGGGCGATTGTGAAGTTACCAGAACATGTGTCAAACAAATTCTAGGGAAACAAATGTCCTAAAACTATTCATTCTGAATGATGAACTCAGCGGGGATGGCATGAATGGTGGTAGAGGGGTGATTGGAAGCGCATTTGAGAAGCAAAGATGCGCTCCCGATCAGGGAGAGGGACATGCTCCCGATTTCTTATCAATCCTAAGAGTCCGGAAGTCACGACGAGTTGCGACATTCCATACCATCCCAAAAACACATTTACTTTGGATTTCGGAAAAGAATGGTGACGTGACATTACCGACCTATTGAACTTCTTTCACACCGTACGTAGCCAACTGTGCTCATCAGAGGTGCTAATAGGAGGTGCTAATATGGCATTGCTTATTAGCACCTCGTGATCTCATGCCACTGTTGTTAGCCCGCATTTACATGAACAGTGTTACATAAATGATCGTAACATCTGAAAACGATCCGACATTCTCCTTATAAACCCAGATTTTTTAAAATCCAGAATTGATTCCGATCTGGTTCATTGGTCAGCACTAACGACAGTGCCCTTGAACACCTGCACATTGGGAGAGGGTGATCTCTTGTTGTTTTTGTGTCCTCTGAAGGCATAAAAACAGTGTTCAATTTGTCACAGAATGGATATGCAATGTGGTAACAAATGCATGAATTCTGGAACCATTGATAAACTGCTGGATGTGAGCGAGTTTGTGATGACGCCAGACATTGTAAGTCAGCTGGCACATCAACATCGCTCGTATTGATGGTCAATTTGAATGGCAGATGAGCAGAAATAAAGAGCATCAGTGGTTATAGGGACAGATAAAGTAACGGCTTTTTCGTTAACCCATGACCATTTGACTTTATGAAGCGTTCCCATTGGGTCCCAAAATGATTTGTGTTTGTGGTTCCTCATTCATGGAATTCCTTTAGGAAGGCAATTAATGCATTTAATCGTTCATCGACAGTGCCAGTGAAACTTGGATTGATCGCTATGAGCCAGAGGGTGGGAGCCTGGGCGAACTCAGTTCATCCTCACAGCAGTTGTTTTTTGGTATGCCATCGAACAAAGATGGTTACTGCATCGCTGGCTTTGAGATGCACTTCTGCGGAAGCAACTGGAGCTATGCACTTTTAAATAATCAAGATTTAAAACTCGTTTCTTTATAACTACTTTTTATGTTTAGTTTGTTGTCCTTCTCGCGCATCTCCGATTAGCACGGCTGGCTACGTACGGTGCGAAAGAAGTTCAACATACTAAACTAAACAATTTTTATTTTACCAGGTAAGGCCCACTGAACGATATAGCTTTTTCAGAAGAGACCTGGCCACAAATGATAGCTCATGGTAAGTGGCTTATCATGTGGATATTTTTTGCAACTACATATTCTTCTTGCATGTTTCTAAATGTGGAGGGAAAAACCGAAAGACCCAAATAAAATCTACATGACCATGGGGAGAACATGCAAACTCCCAATATACAGGCATCAGGGTTGAGATTGAACCCACGACCTTCTGTATACTAGGCGGGGGGGGGGGGGGGGTTAGTTAACATCTCGCCACCGTGACGCCATTGTATGCATTCGTACATTGAACAGAGACACCCAGGCTCTTGAGTCACCTCGAGCCTCAGCCCTCGAGTGCGTTGTGCAATTTGTGGCGGCGGCCCATCGGTCGTGCGTTCATGGCGCCGCTTGTTGAGGAGCCCTGTGGTTTGACTCCAGCAGGCCTCCCTGGTTAATACTGCGGATAGATTTCAAAAGAGAAAATACTCACAAATAAACTTACTTGGGAAACACATGGCAAGGTTGCTCTGTCCTGAGAAAATTTAGCAGGATCCTCCTGAGAGAGAACCTTGAGACTCATGGAGGCTTTACTGGGTAGTAGTAATAAGCAGAGTAGTAATAAAGTCAGTTGGCTGGCCGGAAAATCTCCAGGCCATCGCAGTGCTTGTGTTGGGACTTGGAGCCGGACATTTGTTGAAAATGCCACGAACTCTTGAGAAAGGAAGCGGCGTCTCGGCTGGATAACGCTCCCTGCTACCCTCCTACCACCATGGCTGAAGTAAACGGCAAAAGGGCTTCATGTAGAATACCGAATCACGGCTACTAGCATGGGCCCTGGGCCAGTGTCGGCCGGTCGTTTTAGAGAGCGGCGGCTGCCCTGCTTAATGGAAATGCCCTCTCGTACTACAAGTGCTCTGTCACTCAAAACTATTTTGTCAAACCGTGTCTCTGCCACGTAGAGACCGAGTCATCGCGTCACCGTAGAGCCTCCACTGCTGACCCAGCACGGCTGGGTGTGGTGGTCGAACCTTCGTGAGGCCGCGTGGTTGTCTCGCCACGTGGCCGCGCTGCACTTGCGCTGAGCCATTCCGTGGAGCCACGCCAGGGCCCCGTGGCTCGTCGCGTAAGACGGCAGCCGCCCACCGAGCGGGGTTCGCTGCAGTACGATGCAGTTACCGTGGCAATGCAGTTACCATGGCGATGCAGTAAACGGGCCGAGTTCTAAGTTAATTTAAATACCGAGAGGAACGTGTCGTGTTTCTTTATAAATATAATGAGCAAACACCCTTTAAATGTGTTTAGACGGAGTGCGTAGAAGTCGATTTCCCCGAAGGCGGACACTACGAGAGAGAGAATCTTCAGTTAAGGCAAGGGTGGTCGAGACAAGTCATGTAAATTTTCTCCGTACGGGGTACACCGGTAACATCGATCGTAGCTCAAACATCTGCGAAACACTGTCCCCAGATCGGAATGTGGCGTGGCAAAACGGCTCGGGCTCGTCACTCAAACGCTCATGTCCCTCTCTCCCCACCCGACGCCCCCCCCTTACGGCCGCCGCCTTCAACAAATGCGCAAACCCCCTCAACGCCACCGCTGCCACCACGACACCCGGCACCTCACATGCTCGGCTCGCTGCCCATCTTGGCCACGTCCCCATTCTGCTCGCTCTGCTCGCTCCCCCCAGGCGCGCCACTCTCATGAGCCTCGCCGTCGGGGCCCTGCGCGAGCTGGCGGCTGGAGATGGACGGCGCCCGCCGCTCCGCCTCGCTGCGGCTCGCCGTCTCGGCGAAGTCGCGTGCGCTACACGCTGGGGTGCTGCACTCGTAGGTGTCGTGGAAGGTATCGTAGTCCACCTGATAGAAGCCCTCCTCCAGCGTGAGCACGGGCAGGAAGCGGTGGCCCCACAGAACCTCGGCCTCCAGGTAGGAGCTGCGAGCCTGACACGTCATGCCTGGAGCGGGGAGCAGGGCGGTTTCAAATCTCGGTTGTGGTAAGGGTCGACTCAGCCACACCCCCCCACCGCAGGGTTGATAAAATTAAAAACGCTTTGTAGAGAAGTCAACATTGGTCGTGCTACGGCAGTGTTCTTCATTGCAACGTCAGCGGGCCTCTGGTGGCCTTTAGTGCGGCCCCGGACGTGCAGCCCCCGACAATACACAGATGGTGACATTATCATCGTGCTGCTCTCAATTGGTTCAAATGTGTGGCGGCCCTCGCACTGATGATTTTTTTATGGACGAAAGTGTGCCCCCCCCCCCCTTTGAAAATGAGTGAAGAACGCTGGCCTATGGGCAGACTCTCCCCCGACGTAAGATGCAGAATTTCCACCACTGGCTCTGCGAGGATGTAAACGAGAGACAAGCGCCACTGCCTCAGTGCTCACTCGAGCAGCAGCTGACTGCTGGGACGTTGCGGGGCATTGGTGGCAAGGACAGGCTGGGACCCGGGACTCCAAGTAGCGTAACGAGCGTGGGGCAGGCATGGAGTGCCTTGCCCCCCCCCCTCCCCCCCGTGTGGCCAAAGCTATGAGTTGGGCCCCCCTTGACAACCACCATGAGATTTGTTTTTAACAACAGTGGAAAAGAACAACAACACGTATTTAAGACGCGGTTTAATTAATTATTTCATGAAAAAAATTCATTTACGTTCCAAGTTTTATTTTAATTCAATTAGAGCGGTAAAGTTTGGCGACTGTACGAGACAAATCAAACATGGGGGCCCCACCTCTACCGATTGCCGCACCCGCCTGAGCTGATAATGTAGTTACTGCGCCACTGCGTACTCCTGAATAGTGGCGACCTCTGTCATAGAGGGTGATCGTAGTCATGGAGGAGTGGCATTCTTAGTGTCTCGGGAAACAGTTTCGGTAACAGTTTTAGGCGATTTTTAGACGGCACCATTTCACACAAATAATCACACTTGGGCCCTCAAAGTGCAAGTGAAGAGACCGCTCAGGGAGTTGCTCCCACAGCAGCAAGCCAGACGATGAAGAAGCCGATCAGGGTTGAGAGGAAAGTACCCCCAACGAGGTTACAATGCTCGTCAGCTACGTGATGGGTGAGGCGAACGCACTCATAGGGGGCAGAGATGAGGTGGAGATTGGTTAATTGCTCATGGTAGTGAGGGGAGGGCGGCACCAGAGGGGGTGAGGGTCTCTATATCTGGGCTTGCAGCCAGCCCACGCGTTGGACTCGACTCTTATCATGAATGGGAAATATAGGACATGGATGTGGAGAAGAAAACAGGACAGACAGTCTCAGCTGTACACTTAGGACAGACGGTACAAGTGAGGCATTAACGCAACATGACAGTGTGAATGTTTACCTGGCAGTATAAACACAATACTGATGTGCACTGCGTGTAGAACAGCTGAAACACACGAGAGAGACAGCACGAGAGAGACAGCACAAGAGAGACAGCACGAGAGAGACAGCACGAGAGAGACAGCACGAGAGAGACAGCACGAGAGAGACAGCACGAGAGAGACAGCACGAGAGAGACAGCACGAGAGAGACAGCACGCGAGAGACAGTACGAGAGAGACAGCACGAGAGAGAGTACGAGAGAGACAGCACGAGAGAGACAGCACGAGAGACAGCACGAGAGAGAGTACAAGAGAGACAGCACGAGAGAGACAGCACGAGAGAGACAGCACGAGAGAGACAGCACGAGAGAGACAGCACGAGAGAGACAGCACAAGAGAGACAGCACGAGATAGAGAGAGTACAAGAGAAACAGCACGAGAGAGACAGCACGAGAGAGACAGCACGAGAGAGACAGCACGAGAGAGACAGCACAAGAGAGACAGCACGAGAGAGACAGCACGAGAGAGACAGCACGAGAGAGAGAGAGTACAAGAAAGACAGCACGAGAGAGACAGCATGAGAGAGACAGCACGAGAGAGACAGCACGAGAGAGAGAGAGTACAAGAGAGACAGCACGAGAGAGAGACAACAAAAAAAGACGGCACAAGACAGACATCGCAAGAGACATCACAAGAAAGACAGCACGACAGAGACAGCACGAGAGAGACATCGCAAGAGACAGACAGGAAACACAAAAGAAGGAATCTGCCGCAGCACACGGTGTGCCAGCGGTGGGGACACTCACCGGTGGCCTCCACCATGCCCTCCAGGATCACGACAATCTCAAACTCTTCCTTCTTCAGCTGGTCACGCGACATCTCCCAGAAGGGGCTCTGCTCGTTAATTTCATGGCAGATGATGAGCGGCGAGACGAGGAAGAGGCGGTCATCCCCCGTGTCGAAGCCCACGTTGATGTCCGTCTGGTTGAGGGGGATGAACTCCCCCTCCTTGGTCTGCTTGGACTTCATCAGCTTGGCTCGAATGGACGCCTCCACGATGTGCGAATTCCTCAAGTCGCCCACGCGGAACATGAGGCAGAGCTTCCCGTCCCTCAGGGAGATGACCGCATTGTTGGAGAACATCAGTGTCTCGGCGCGCTTCTTGGGCTGCGATATTTTGACGAACATGCAGCCCACCATGAAGGCATTGACAATGGAGCCCAGGATGGCCTGCACCAGCAGCAGGATGATCCCCTCGGGACAGCGGTCGGTGATCACCCGGTGGCCATAGCCGATGGTTGTCTCCGTCTCGATGGAGAATAAAAAGGCAGACACGAAGCCATTCAGATTGTCCACGCAGGGCGTCCACGAATTGTCGCCGATGTGATCCAGGTCCCCGCGGATGTACGCAATCAGCCACCAAATGAATCCGAAGAAAAGCCATGTGATCGTGTATGCCAGGGTGAAGACCAGGAGGTTGAAGCGCCACTTGAGGTCGACGAGCGTGGTGAAGAGGTCGGTGAAGTAGCGGTATGTCTCGCGCATGTTGCCGTGGTGCACGTTGCACTTGCCGTCCTTGGAGACATACCGCTGGCGCCGCTTCTTGCCGGCGTCGGCGAGCAGCCGCGTCCGGTCCGTGTGCACCTTGGGGCCCCCGCGGCACTGCTTGGGCACCTTGGTCGCAGGCCGCACCGAGACGCCGCTGTGTTCTACGTCGCCCTCCATGAACGCTCGCGAGTCGTCTCGCATGGTGTGGGCGGCGATGCGCCAGGCGGTGGAGTTCCTGGAACAAGGGAGGAACGTATGTTTGTGTTATGTGTGCATGTGTATGTATGTTGAACATCTTTCGCACCATACGGAGCCAACTGTGCTAATCGTATGTGTGGGGGAAGGATAACAAACAAAACACAACAAGCAGATGTAAATAAATTAGTTTTAAATTTAGATTTAAGAGTACATAAGCTCCAGTGGCTTCCTAATATCGGAAGGAAGAACGTTACAGACGGCCGCAGAAGCACATCCAGAAGTGCATCTGAAAGCATGCGATGTGTTTGTTCCTTTCTCATGTGACACCATTCCAAAACGTTCCTGCCTCCTGCTTCATCTGCGAAGGGGAGAAAGTGCAGCAGGAAATAAATGCTCTCAAGCTGGGCCAGAGGGGCCGTGGAGAATGAGCGACCACCCACCGGAGAAACGTAGAAAGCCTTGGTTAGTGGAGCGGAAAGTGTCGGAGAGGAGTAGGGTGCGATGAGAAAGGAGAGGAGAGGAAGGAGAGTGCGTGGAGGGGAATAGCGTGTGATGAGAGAACACAAGAGGTAGGGAGAGACTCATTCATGGAGGATCTTGAAGACGGTGAGTGTGATCTAAACGTCGATTTGAGATTGGTTTGGGAACTAATCTTGGAATTGGAGCATTGTGGTTATATGGCCATGTTTGGGGGTACGGGTGACAATTATGGCAATGACATTTTGAATAATCTGAAGTGTGGAGAGGTGAGGGATGTGGGGAGGTGAGGGATGTGGGGAGGTGAGGGATGAGGGGAGGTGAGGGATGAGGGGAGGTGAGGGATGAGGGGAGGTGAGGAATGAGGGGAGGTGAGGAATGAGGGGAGGTGAGGGATGTGGGGAGGTGAGGAATGTGGGGAGGTGATGGATGAGGGGAGGTGAGGAATGAGGGGAGGTGAGGGATGTGGGGAGGTGAGGAATGTGGGGAGGTGATGGATGAGGGGAGGTGAGGGATGAGGGGAGGTGAGAGATGTGGGGAGGTGAGGGATGAGGGGAGGTGAGGGATGAGGGGAGGTGAGGGATGAGGGGAGGTGAGAGATGTGGGGAGGTGAAGGATGTGGGGAGGTGAGGGATGAGGGGAGGTGAGGGATGAGGGGAGGGATGTGGAGAGGCCCTAATGAAGAGAGTCGCAGGAGTCAAGTCGGGATGAAACCAGGGATAAGGGTCTGAGTGACAGCTAGGGTAGGGAGATAGTAGAATTTGGGAGATGTTGCAATAGACGGAGTGATGAGCTTCTCTAGGGAAGCAGGAGACATCGAGAAGAGTAAGCGGGCGAGGGTGGAGCCTTGCAGGACACCGCAGCCCGGGAGTGTCTGAGTGGAGCAGAGGCCAGGGTGGGGACACGGAGATGGGTGGGGGGGGGGTAGCGGTCTGGGGTGCCAGGTCCAGGAGAATAAGGATTTAAAATGGATCCATGGTCTGTGGGGAGACCATCATTAACTCCATGTAGGGGAGCAGTAGAATGGCCGCTGTGGATACGAGAGTTTACTGGCGCCTGGAGAACATGGAGAGAGTGGTTTGGACGTTTTCACAACCCTTACTCCGCCATAAACACGTCCACACTCTCTTAAACACACACACACTTACACCCAAAGAAAACAAGGCCTTGACGAGGTCAATAAAGCAGATATGTAGGTCCATGCAGAGACAAAGATCCCCACATAGCCTGAACAGACTTTTGGGGCAAGTGCTGTTAGCGAGTGAGCACTAGTGAAAGCCAGCACAGCACATGAGGGCAGCCAGCACCCATGCCCGGCCGCCTTTGTCTCCCTCATGGCAATATTTACATATCGCACCAGGTAATCATTTGAGGCTGAGTCAGCCTAGGGGCGGCCAAGGACAAGTTCAGATAATCGTCACTGGTGTAGGTAGTCGTGGACGGATTGTGTAACCAGATGGGCTGTGTAGCCAGATGGATTGTGTAACCAAATGGGCTGTGTAACCAGATGGATTGTGTAATTAGATGGATTGTGTAACCAGATGGATTGTGTAACCAGATGGGCTGTGTAACCAGAAGGGCTGTGCAACCAGATGGATTGTGTAGAGGCGACAGGACACAGACGAGAACTGATGTGGCCCGGCCGACCACACCTGAAGCAGGTGGCTGTGGTTCTCCAGGGCGGAAGGGGCTTCCCCTCTCGCCAACTCCATCCCGTCGGCCTTCTGAGGTAGCCCCTCCCATGCGGCCCATAACTGTACACCGCAGCCACCATCTCCACCTCCCGGCATGTTGGCCCCTGTGCCTCGGCGTCCCCTGTTCAAGCCGCCACCTTGGGCTATTGCTGCATGCTTTCGTGGGCCTGAATCCACCAGGCCATCTTCAAGGACATCAATTCGTCGTCCCCCGTGATCGTTAGGACGACCCCCAACTCCTGCGCCAACGAAAGCAGCCTCTCCACTGCCGTCCGGTCCATGTGAGGATACGCCTCCTGCCCCAACGCCAGCAGAGCGTTATAAAAAGCGAGAGGCGTCTCGGCCTCCCCCCGCTTCTGCTGCAAAAATCTACTGCAAGCGGTGTACGGCGGGTCGAAGACTGCCGCAATTTGGACGTATGCCCACTGTAAAGTTGACCGATCACCTTCCGGGATTGCCTGGAATGCCGCCAACGCATAGTTGTTGAGGGCCGTCGGTAGGGCTCGCAGGGCCTCCTGTTCCGTCCACCCGACGGACAACAAAGCTGCTTTGAAGCTATGATGAAACGCCGTCCAATCACCTTCCGCCGCCATGAACTCCCGAATGGGAGACAGCCGTTGTGGTCAGAACGCGGCTCCTTGCATCGCCGCCTTAGCTTTGTCCCACGTCCCGCTCCAAATGGTGCCTGCCGACCATACCATGCCCTCTGCGGGCAAAATGGCGCCCGGCAACCGCGTGGTCTCCGCCGTGGGAATCGCCGCTGCAGGCGGCAGCTCCTACGTGCCCCGCGGCCCACTCCCAGTGGCACCCGCAGACAACGCAATGCCCTCTGCGGGCGAAATGGCGGTCGGCAACCGCGTTGTTGCCACCGCGGGAACCGCTGCTGTCGGTGGCAGCTCCAGCGAGCCCTGCGGCCCATGCCAAATGGCACCCGCCTACCATACTGTGCCCTCCGCGGGCGAAATGGCAGCCGGCAACCGTGTGGTCTCCGCTGCGGGAACTGCCGCTGAATACAGCCGCTCCGGCGAGTGCCGCGGCCCACTCGCCGACCCTTGGACATCAGGCGCGAATGTGGAGAGCTGCGCGACCAGCTGGCCGATGGTCACGATGAGCAGGTTGAGGCAGCCAACCTCCTCGCGCCACCCATTCTCGGCTCGCATCTCCGGAGGATCGGCGCCCCTCTCCCGTTGATCCGCAGCCGCCACTCCCGCGCCCAAGGGGTTTGTAACCAGGGTCCCAGGTCCCAGGGCTGTCCGAGGGATAACCGTCTCGCCGTCCTTGTCCTCTGATGAGACTATGGGTGGGTTCCTCTTCCTGGATAACTTCGACATTGCGACTTATACCCTAATGCCCGTCAAATTTTCCAAGCACTTCTGACACGAGTTGTAGTGTCAACGATTTAGGGACAAAGTTTATAGCAGGAACCTTCTTTATTAACAACTTCCATGGTCTCGTCCACACACTCTCCACAGTAGGTTAGCCTAGTCTGTACACAACACTAGCCGTCTAACACTGACAGCGCTGACTGAGATAGCCAACTACTATCCTTCGTAGCGCAATATCTAGCGGAGACGTTAGCGATGATGGCGACAAGACAACAGCGACAACGAGACGAGTCCACTCCAAGAACCGGCAGCCTCAAGTTCCCGCTCTCGGCTCCTTTTATGCTACCAACGTGGCCTGGCTCCGCCCTGACTTCGCCTCCCTTCTCAAACCTGCTAGCAGGTTCCAGGGGTCTCCAGATGGGGTCCTCCGCGACCCTTGCCCTAGTTCCTCCTCTCTGCCAACACACCGTGCACACCCCCACCGGCGTGTGTACTGTCTGTCCACCACAGTTGCCGCTGCTGTCCACCAGGCAGCATATTACACTACGTTTGTATATACAGATCGTCATGCACACTGCATATACATTGTGTATACAGATCGTCATGCACACTGCATATACATTGTGTATACAGATCGTCATGCACACTGCATATACATTGTAGATGTAGTGACATATGACGTCCCAAATGTGTCAGGACACTAACGAGCATAGTGACATATGACGTTGGCTCGGTACGGGTACTGTATGCGGGGTGTCACGGAGGTCGCGTCAGGCCGTGAGACTCTGCGTGAATCCAACAGGACACGTGACCAGACAAAGGGGGGCTAGGGGCCCCAGGGGGGAGCTTGGTGGTCACGTGGTAAGGGGCCCGTACCTTCCCAAAGGATCGGGAAGGGGGGCATGGCCGAGGGCGGGGCCGGCCATGCCACAGCAGTTATAAGCGGGGCGTGAAGTGAGAGCTGGGCTGTTCAACCCTGGGATGAAGACGCCATCAGCGGTCCTCGAGTCTCCGGGCTTCGTCCGTGACCAGGCAACCTGCTAACCTGCCCTGGTCACGTTATGTAGTATTTCCCCCGAGTGTTAGTTAACTAGGGATGGTGGTCACCACCTTATGTATCGTGTTGAGTTGGTTAAGTGTTAATAAATAGTGTTGCCTCCAAGTTGAGTGTATGCCTCAATCGAACCATTGTATATACAGATCGTCATGCACACTGCATATACATTGTATATACAGATCGTCATGCACACTGCATCTACATTGTATATACAGATCGTCATGCACACTGCATCTACATTGTATATACAGATCGTCATGCACACTGCATCTACATTGTATATACAGATCGTCATGCACACTGCATATACATTGTGTATACAGATCGTCATGCACACTGCATATACATTGTGTATACAGATCGTCATGCACACTGCATCTACATTGTATATACAGATCGTCATGCACACTGCATATACATTGTGTATACAGATCGTCATGCACACTGCATATACATTGTATATACAGATCGTCATGCACACTGCATCTACATTGTATATACAGATCGTCATGCACACTGCATCTACACTGTATATACAGATCGTCATGCACACTGCAAATACATTGTGTATACAGATCGTCATGCACACTGCATATACATTGTGTATACAGATCGTCATGCACACTGCATCTACATTGTATATACAGATCGTCATGCACACTGCATATACATTGTGTATACAGATCATCATGCACACATCATCTACATTGTGTATACAGATCGTCATGCACACAGCATATATATTGTATATACAGATCGTCATGCACACAGCATATACATTGTATATACAGATCGTCATGCACACAGCATATACATTGTGTATACAGATCGTCATGCACATTGCATCTACATTGTATATACAGATCGTCATGCACATTGCATCTACATTGTATATACAGATCGTCATGCACATTGCATCTACATTGTATATACAGATCGTCATGCACACAGCATATACATTGTATATACAGATCGTCATGCACACTGCATCTACATTGTATATACAGATCGTCATGCACACTGCATCTACATTGTGTATACAGATCGTCATGCACACTGCATATACATTGTGTATACAGATCGTCATGCACACTGCATATACATTGTATATACAGATCGTCATGCACACTGCATCTACATTGTATATACAGATCGTCATGCACACTGCATCTACATTGTATATACAGATCGTCATGCACACTGCATATACATTGTGTATACAGATCGTCATGCACACTGCATATACATTGTGTATACAGATCGTCATGCACACTGCATATACATTGTGTATACAGATCGTCATGCACACTGCATATACATTGTGTATACAGATCGTCATGCACACTGCATCTACATTGTATATACAGATCGTCATGCACACTGCATCTACATTGTATATACAGATCGTCATGCACACTGCATCTACATTGTATATACAGATCGTCATGCACACTGCATATACATTGTGTATACAGATCGTCATGCACACTGCATATACATTGTGTATACAGATCGTCATGCACACTGCATATACATTGTGTATACAGATCGTCATGCACACTGCATATACATTGTGTATACAGATCGTCATGCACACTGCATCTACATTGTATATACAGATCGTCATGCACACTGCATCTACATTGTATATACAGATCGTCATGCACACTGCATATACATTGTATATACAGATCGTCATGCACACTGCATATACATTGTGTATACAGATCGTCATGCACACTGCATCTACATTGTATATACAGATCGTCATGCACACAGCATATACATTGTATATACAGATCGTCATGCACACAGCATATACATTGTATATACAGATCGTCATGCACACAGCATATACATTGTGTATACAGATCGTCATGCACACTGCATCTACATTGTATATACAGATCGTCATGCACACTGCATCTACATTGTATATACACAGATCGTCATGCACACTGCATCTACATTGTATATACAGATCGTCATGCACACTCCATCTACATTGTATATACAGATCGTCATGCACACTGCATCTACATTGTGTATACAGATCGTCATGCACACTGCATATATATTGTATATACAGATCGTCATGCACACAGCATATACATTGTATATACAGATCGTCATGCACACAGCATATACATTGTATATACAGATCGTGATGCACACTGCATCTACATTGTATATACAGATCGTCATGCACACTGCATCTACATTGTATATACAGATCGTCATGCACACTGCATCTACATTGTATATACAGATCGTCATGCACACTGCATCTACATTGTGTATACAGATCGTCAGGCACACTGCATATACATTGTGTATACAGATCGTCATGCACACTGCATATACATTGTGTATACAGATCGTCATGCACACTGCATCTACATTGTGTATACAGATCGTCATGCACACTGCATCTACATTGTGTATACAGATCGTCATGCACACTGCATATAAATTGTGTATACAGATCGTCATGCACACTGCATATACATTGTATATACAGATCGTCATGCACACTGCATCTACATTGTATATACAGATCGTCATGCACACTGCATCTACATTGTATATACAGATCGTCATGCACACTCAATATACATTGTGTATACAGATCGTCATGCACACTGCATCTACATTGTGTATACAGATCGTCATGCACACTGAATATACATTGTATATACAGATCGTCATGCACACTGCATCTACATTGTATATACAGATCGTCATGCACACTGCATATACATTGTATATACAGATCGTCATGCACACTGCATATACATTGTGTATACAGATCGTCATGCACACTGCATCTACATTGTATATACAGATCGTCATGCACACAGCATATACATTGTATATACAGATCGTCATGCACACAGCATATACATTGTGTATACAGATCGTCATGCACACTGCATCTACATTGTATATACAGATCGTCATGCACACAGCATATACATTGCATATACAGATCGTCATGCACACAGCATATACAATGTATATACAGATCGTCATGCACACAGCATATACATTGTGTATACAGATCGTCATGCACACTGCATCTACATTGTATATACAGATCGTCATGCACACTGCATATACATTGTATATACAGATCGTCATGCACACTGCATATACATTGTATATACAGATCGTCATGCACACTGCATATACATTGTATATACAGATCGTCATACACATTGCATATACATTGTGTATACAGATCGTCATGCACACTGCATCTACATTGTGTATACAGATCGTCATGCACACTGCATCTACATTGTATATACAGATCGTCATGCACACTGCATATACATTGTGTATACAGATCGTCATGCACACTGCATATACATTGTGTATACAGATCGTCATGCACACTGCATCTACATTGTGTATACAGATCGTCATGCACACTGCATCTACATTGTATATACAGATAGGCATACATTGTGTATACAGATCGCCATGTAAAAAATAATAGGCGTTAGTCTTTCTGACAATTAAACAGCTTTTAAGATGTTCAAACACCAAATAGATTCATTTTACAAGGCACCAAAGACTGCATTAACCACATGTCCTTGTGGCAAAACATATCAACAAACATGCTCTGATAATATTTGCATTTGTTTTGCAATATACCACGTGTATATTCTATATACTTAATATATACAGATCGCCATGTGTATTGATGCCTTCACCTCAGCAGTCTAAGCCGATGTACGTGTTGTTGTGGGCTTGTGTATCACCACTGTGTTGTTGCGTGCCTCCCCTAGGTCGACTCAGCCTCAAATGAGTACCTGGTGCGGTGTAAACATCGTCACTGGAAAGACAAAGGCGGCCGGGCGTGGTTCTGGTCACCCCCCCCCCTGTCTACCGTGCCTTCATAAGTGCTGCTCGCTAACAGCACTTTCCCCAACAGGCTACACGGGGAATCTTCGTCTTTGTTGTTGTGTGTGTGTGCTTGTGCACCACTGCCGACGCAGCAGCAGCATCATCCCCACAACAAGAGATGGTTGCTGTGTAATGTTTGAGAAGGTGCGCTGCTGCTACTGCTGCTGTTGTCGGCAGCGAAGAGCCGCGAGCCATCTCCGAGTTCCGACTCCTCTGGTGACCTCGGGGCGAATTATCCGTGAGAACAACCTCCGCGCGATTCCAGCCCAGCCGTGTGCTCCCCGCAGTGGCCTTCAACGACGGTTCTCTGGATGTTGCTGCTGTTGTTGTTTTACGCCGTGATTGGTGAGCGCCAAAAGTGAACTGCGCCCAATTTCCATTGAATGAAAAATGTCTTTGCAAAAGCACACACGGGGGATACCGCGCGGGACTGCATTCGAAACCATCTCAGAGCCCACCCCCCCATCATCATGATGAGTACTGCATCGTGATGAGTACTGAATCGGTAAGAGGTCGGCTCTGAGCCCCCACCTCCACCTGCTCCTCACCCCAGTCTGTCACGGGGCGTCATTGTGGAGCGGATTTCCCAGCTCCGGATAAACAAACAAATAAACAATCACACCCCACATCCTCCATCATTGCGCGGATCGGAGGCCTCACTGGGTAGTGCGGCGCGGTAGAGCTTGTGTTTATAGCGCTGGTGATTGATGCTAGCGCTGGTGATGCTAGCGCTGGTGATGCGTGCGCTGGTGATTGATTCTAGCGCTGGTGATTGATTCTAGCGCTGGTGATTGATTCTAGCGCTGGTGATTGATTCTAGCGCTGGTATGATTGATTCTAGCGCTGGTGATTGATTCTAGCGCTGGTGATTGATTCTAGCGTTGGTGATTGATTCTAGTGCTCGTGATTCTAGCGCTGGTGATGCAAGCGCTGGTGATTCACGCTCGATCCGCGTTCATGCAGCGCACTATCTCGAGTCGCAATCGAGGCGGCGACAGTGGCGGTGGTGAAGATGAATCCGACAATGGCCAAGATCCTCCTCCTCGCACCGCAACCATCCCTCTCATTCACAGCGAGATGTCCCCGTGATCACCTCTCCCACCTCCTCCTCCTCTCCCACCTCATCGTCACCGCAAACAGAGGACGCCATCATTCGCGGCGACATCAGGTGAAGCGGGTGGACAAGAGACGCGTAAATAACAATGGCACGGGGGGGGGGGTAGTGGTGGGGGGTGATCGCCTTAAATCGCTGTCCGCGTGAGTACCTTTGGAGAGAGCCGGGAGGGCGGCTCAGCCTTGCATCGCCGTGCAGCCGAGACGAGGCGTGGAGAGAGGAAGACGCGCGGTGTTGTCTGTGTTAGAGAGCGCGGGGCGATAGCGAGAGGGGAGTTAGCGCAAGAGACACGACCGTACGGTGTGGGAGGGGGGGGCACTGTGCCTCTTCCTCGCGCGGCAGAAGAGTCGAGGCGAGAGGAGGAGCGGGGGAGGAGGAGTATGAGGCGGGGGGCTGGGGGGCGGATGATGTCAGAAGGGGGAGGAGGACTGAGTCTCGGGAGCCGGGGACAACGAGGCCGCGCTGCGCTGTGGACGCGGTCGCACATTGGGCACCCTATGCCCCAATTAACGGCGCGGGCTAATTAAGACCGGGCTAATTTAAGGGACACGCTCGATCCGCTGCTGGCGCGACGACCGCGAGTTATCCCCGCACCCTAGCAATGGCTTGGCCCCCGTGGTTGTCACGCGTCGTGTCCGCGACACCGACTCGGGTCCCCGGCAGAGGAAGCGAGGAGAGTCGCATCAGCAGTGGAGGTGCCGAGCAGAGACCCCGCACAAATTCCAGAGAGCCTGCACAGATCCCACATAGATCCCACATAGATCCCACAGAGATCCCACATGATCCCATACAGATCCCACAGAGATCTCACACAGAACCCGCAGAGACCCCGGACAGATCCCACAGAGACCCCACAGAGTTCCCGCAGAGAACCCACACAGATCCCATACAGACCCCACAAAGTTCCCGCAGGGATCCCACACTCGCACAGATCCCACAGAGATCCCGCAGAGATTCCACACAGATCCCACATACCCGACACAGATCTCGTAGAGCCCCCGGACAGATGGCACACAGATCCCACAGAGATCCCACGTAGATCCTACACAGATCCCGCAGAGACTCCAGATAGATCCCACACAGATCCCACAGAGTTCCCGCAGAGATCCCACACAGATCCCACCAAGAGCCTGAACAGATCCCACAGAGATCTGACAGAGAACCCGCACATATCCCACAGAGATCCCACAGAGTTCACGCAGGGATCCCACACAGATCCCACAGAAATCCAACAGAGAGCCTGCACAGATCCCACGGAGATCCCACATAGATCTCACACAGATCCCGTAGAGCCCCCGGACAGATGCCACACAGATCCCACATAGATCCCGCAGAGATCCCGCACAGATCCCGTAGAGATCCCACAGAGCTCCCACAGAGAGCCCGCAGAGATCTTACACAGATCCCACATAGATCCCGCAGAGATCCCGTACAGATCCCACACAGATAACCACATAGATCCCGCAGGGTACCCACACAGATCCCGCAGGAAGCCCGGACAGATGCCACCCAGATCCCACAGAGATCCCACACAGATCCCGCACATATCCCGCAGAGATCCCACAAAGCTCCCGCAGAGAGCCCGCAGAGATCCCACCGATGTCTGTCCGAAATAACGTGAGTCGTGTTCAGCAGAATTCTCTACGAGGGGGTGAGGGATGAGGGGGGCAGCTATTTGGTCTCTTATGAAGATTCATAGGGGCGTGTTTGGTGTACGTGTGGTGTGTGGTGTACGTGGAGTGAGGTGTGTGTGGCAGACGGCAGCGCTGTGGTGAGCAGTGCCGTGGGAGGAGGGCCTTTTTAGACTGGCCATTCCTCTCATGGCGTTTGCAACCACCACAGCGGCCAAATTGGGGTTCTGGATGGGTGTGAGGGGCTGGTAACCCCTCCACCTTCAATTAATGACCACAAAACCACGACTGAAAATTTTAATTAATAAGCTTGTGCCGGAGACCCTGGGGGGACAGGCGTCTATGACGTTTCCTGACCAAACCCCATTTGGCGGAGCCAGGAGACTGAATCCTTACCCTCGGGGTTCCTCCAGAAACAACAAAATACCACTATGGGTGGCCACGTGGAATGTTCGAACGCTCACTGCGGAGGAGAGGCTGCCACTCCTCTGTCGGGAGCTGGACCGGTACCACCTGGATCTCTGTAGTATTCAGGAGGTCTGGTGGACCAGCTCGGGCTCCTGCCACCATGAGGGGTGGACAGTCCTCTACTCGGGGCAGGAAATTGCCAAACAACAGGGAGTAGCTCTTCTTCTGTAAGCCCCAGGCTACTTTGGGCTCGCCTTCCCATCAACAAGAGGCAAGGAGTGGTGGTCGTGGTTACTTATGCCCCCACTGAAGACAAACATCCGTGGAGGGATGCAGGCAAGGCCGATGAGTCAGATGCCTTCTATGACCTCCTGTCACAGGTGCTAGCTAAAGTGGCCCCTCAGGATAGAGTTATCTTGTTGGGTGACTTCAATGCCCAAAGTTGGTCATGATGCTGGCACCTGGTCTGGAAGGATTGAGAGGCATGGGCCGGATCAGCTCAATAACAACGGCAGGAGGCTGCTATATTGTTGTGCAGCCCATGGGCTTGTAATTACCAACACGCTGTTCCGGCATCGGCGCATCCACACAACATCATGGATATATGCCGGGTCTAAGCAACATCTGCTGGACTACATAGTGACAGAACAGCGGATGCGGGCCCATGTCTTTGAAACCAGGATCTACCGTGAACCTGATCTGCCCACTGACCATCGACTTGTCATCTGTAAGATGCGCCTGCCATTCTTCCACTCCGGTGGTGGGTGTACACCCAGGACCCCATTCAAACCCATAGTGGTATGGTCTCAGCTAGCTGATGAAAGTTGCAAGCGAGAATTTTATCATGGCTTGCGACTGGGGTTGGCATCGTCCCCACTCCTCCTGATGTCGAGGGGAAATGGGCGAGATTTAGAACTGTGGCTCATGCAGCTGCAATGGCTGCTGAGGGTACATGGTACAGACCTCCTCAGAGACCCTGGCTGACAGAGTAGGTGTGCAGGCTGGCTGAGAAAAAGCGACAGGCCCACTCTCATCGGCTACAGCATCCCACATCGGAGAATGAGGAGGCTTACCGCAGCCTTCGCTCGGACGTTCGGAGAGCCATGAGGCGCTGCAAGGATGGGTGGTGGTCGCGGGTTGTTGAGGAGATGGAGTCTGCCTCAATGGCCTGCGATCACAAATCACTCTGTAACTCCGTCAAAAAAGTAACCTGCAGCGCCATACCTATTACCATCATTAGGGGAAAGAACGGTGATCCAATCTCCGACCCAACAAGAACTGGTTTGCAGATTTGCTGAGCATTTCTGTGAGGTCCTGGGGGAGGGGAAATCTCTCAGCCTGGTAAACAGTGGGACAAAGTGGGGATGACCCTGCTGAGGCTGCAGTGCCTCAAATATTGGAAGAAGAAGTCACCCCCTGTGAGTGGCTGGCTGAGGTGCCATCTGTTGAGGAAGTACTGAAGACGATCCGGAGTTTGAGACCAGGAAAGGCACCGGGCAGAGATTATCTCCCAAGCGAAATGCTGAGGGAGGGTGGCGTTTGTGTACAGACTTCCCTACATGACATCATAACAACAGTCTGGACCACTGGACGGGTTTCGCAGGATTGGAAGGATGCCCTGGTGGTCCCCCTCTTTAAGGATTATATCAACATTGCCTTGCTAGGCACGCTGAGGAGAGGCTTTCAGAGCCCCAATGTGGTTTCAGGAAAGGGCAGTCCTGCACAGATGCCATATTTTCTGTCCGTCTGCTACAGCAGAGGTGTAGGGATTTCCAACAAGATCTACATCTCTGGATTATTGACCTGGTCAAGGCCTATAATACCATCAGTAGGCCTGGGCTCTGGGTTGTACTTCATGCTTTCGGAGTCCCTGACCCTCTGCTCACGATCATTAAGGACCTTCATGATGGTGAGCGGGCCTGGGTCAAACTACGTGGCCAGGAGTCGGAGCCAATCCCTGTACATCTTGGGATGCGACAGGGATGTCCTCTGGCACCCACATTATTTAACATCTATTTCGACCACGTAGTTCGTGAAGCCTATAATAGCTGTACCGGAGGAATTTCCACCTGGTACAGATACAACGGGAGGCTGATCGATGTCTGGGTGCAGTCAAGGGATATCTCCTTATTGCTCAACCATGTTACGTATGCCGATGATCTGGTAATTGCTGCTCACTCAGAGGAGGAGTTGGAGGTGCTGCTGCTGAACCTGGAGCTTGCCACTAAGAGGTGGGGCCTTACCATCAGCCCCACCAAAACTAAGCACCTACCTGGGTATTTTGTACCATCGGACACTCCACTCCCACAGCTCCCAATTGGGGATGAGGCTGTTGTGGAGAGAGTGGAGAGTTTCCCATATCTGGGCAGTGTGCTTATGACCGGCTCCGGTTTTACAGCAGATGTCTCACTCCGAATCAGTCGAACAGAATGATCTTTTCATCGGTTGCGTAACACTGTGTGGAAGCTACCTGGTCTGTTGCTCTGCACGGAGCTGCAGGTTTTCTCGGCCACAGTCATTCCCTCTCTTCTCTACACTTGTGAAACGTAGACCCCCCTAATGGAACATCCGCGCCAGTTAGAAACATTTAGGCTGGCCTGCCTACGATCCATCCTGGGTTTAACCAAGCTGGATTGTGTGAGGAGCTCACAAATTCTTGAAAGATCTGAACAAAGTCCCATCGGTGAGCTCCTCCGGCAGGCAAGGCTGCGTTGACTGGGTCATGTAGCCCGCATGCCAACACGTTCTTCCAGCATCGGCACATCCACACAATATCATCGATGTATGCGAGAACATATGCCTGATAAAGTGATGAAACAGCAAATGTAGGCCCATGTCTTTGACAGCAGAGCGTACCGTGGAGTTGATCTCCTCACTGACTATCGATTTGTCATCTGCGAGATGCGTCTGTCATCCTTCCTTTGTCATGGTGGGTGTCCATCTAGAACTCCATTCAAACCCACAGTGGTCTGGTCTCTGCTAGCTGATGAAAGTTGCAATCAAGAATTGTATCATTGCTTACAGCTGGGGTTGGCATCGTCCTCCCCCCACTCCTACTGATTCCAAAGGAAAATGGGTGAGGTTCAGCAATGTGGCTCATGCGGCTGCAATGGTTGCTTTGGGTCCAGACCTCTCTGGAGACCCTGGCTAATGGAGGAGGTATTCTGGCTAGTCGAAAGAACGTGACAGGTTCATTCCCACAGTCTACAACATGCCATGTCCGAGAATGTAGAGGTTTATCGCAGCCTTCGCTCGAAGGTTCAGAGAGCCGTGTAGTGCTGCAAGGATGAGTGGTGGTTGTGGGTTGCTGAGGAGACGGAAACTGCCTCAATGACATCTGATCACAAGTCATTTTATAATTCCATCAAAACGTTACTTTTATTGCCACACCTATTACCATCCTTAAGGGAAAGAATGGTGATCCGATCTCTAACCACCAGGAACAGGTTTGCTAAGCATTTCTGTTTGATCTTGGGGAGGGAAAACCCCCTGAGCTCTGATAAGATCATGGGGCAATATCTGGTTGACCCTGTTGGGGCTGTGGTGCCTCAAATTTTGGATAAAGTAGTGGCTGGCCAATGTGATATCTTCTTCTT